ACCCACAGCCCCTGCCCCCCAGCCCTGCTGGAGGGGGCCCCCAACTGCCAGGGCATGGAGCCAGGGACCCAGGTATGCAGCCTCCTGCCCCTAATGGAAGGTAGTGGCTGCTGCAGCAGGAGCACCAGCTGGCTCCCCCCACCCCTGCTGCCCACCTCCTGCGGGCTCCAGTGGGGCCAACTCCTGGAGGCAGCATGAACACCCAGGGTCCAGGAGGGACCCGTGCCCTACCAATCAGTGGGGATGCGCTGCAGGCTCATGCTCCCCACCCTGCTGCCCACCCCCAGGCCCTCTGGAGTGCAGTGTGTGCAACCCGGCATGGCAGTGCACAGGGGGGATGTGCAGGAAAGCTGCTTGCCGCTGCGAGCTCCGTGCTGCTCTGGCCATGCTTTTCCTGTATGGGCTCACTATGCCCTGCCGTGCCACTCTCACACGCTGCAATCTGGAGGGCCTGGGGGAGGGCAGCAGGGCAGGGAGCGCAGCGTTTGTGACCCAGGGTTTTCAGCCGGCCAGGCACTCTGACCAGGAGAGAGTGTGTGCGTGGGGAGGGGGGGTTGCAGCCTGCTCCCGGCTGCCTGCAAACCCTCCCTCCAGGCTGGAGAGCGCCCAAGCTGGCTGGGGAATGAGCGAGCTGGGGGAGGGGGTTTGCAGCCAGCTGGGAACTCCAGCCAGGAATGGGGATACTGTAAACCCCCCACCCATCCCGGCCAGCGTGCCTGGCTGGCTGCAAACCTCCCCATTCCCTCAGGCCCTAGCCAGCTTGGGCACTCTGGCCAGAAGCAGGGGAGGTCTGCAGCCCCCCAGGCACTCTGCCAGGAGTGGGGAGGCTAGAAACCACCTCCCAGCTGGAGAGAGCCCAGCCAGCTGCAAACCTCCCTGCCCCGCAAGCCCCAAGCCCCACTTAACTCCAGCAAGAAGAGTGAGCCTGAAGCAGCCTCAAGTAAGTGCGTCAGGCTTGCCCTTTCCCCCTCTCCCTTCCCCTCCTGGCAGGGTTGAGGGTTTTCTCCGCCCCTTCTGCAAACAGCTCTTCCAGGCTGGAACTCTACCACCTGCAGAGCTCTTTGTAAAAGGGGGAATCCACAGGTTTCTCTTCATAAAGGGAAAATCTGCATCTTCTCTGATAAAAATAAGAAATTTGTGGTTTTCTCTCTTTTTCCATGGGAAATGGAAAACCCAGATCCCTGCCTACAACACACAAAACTACTAAGAATTTGACAAATCATATTTGCCATTTCTGCAACATATCAATTCGACAATATGTTTCCTGCTTCAGTTACCATATTCTTTCCAAACTGCAGGTAACTGTGGACTGTTTATAGGTAATGTAGGAAACAATCAAATGTCTAGAAACACAGGACTCCCCTCTCATCACTTTACATTCTTCAGGCTAAGAAATGACAGTAAAGCTACACTAGAAGAGTAGAGTATAGCAGTCAGCAAGATGTTTTCTTCCCAGCCAAATACAGATTAAAATCTGACAGATCCACTCTAATAAAAGAATGTTCACAAAAAAGTGTTTCTAGAAACAACAAATCTGCTTAAACAAATAAATAAAAGCCTTTAAAACGGGGATGTTACAATTAATATCTGTACCATACTTCAGGACAAGAAGCTGAGAGAATTTACATTCTACTGCAAACTTTGCCATAAACCCCCCTGTGATTCAAGGCAATTTACAAGGGGCTTAACTCTCACAGATGGTAAGTACCCTCTTCTTTTGTTGACTCCAGCAAAAGTCAAGGATACTCAGCAGCTTTGCAAAAATCAAAAGATTAATCTCTCTGGTTCATAGCCATTTTTCCTAGGCTCTCTTTAAAATATAGATAGTACTTACTTACCTAATGGTCAGTTAAGGCTATTGCTGATTAATATCTCTACCATACTTTAAGAACACTGGATGATGCTATTTTTAAACAACTGTAAAACAGCTTTATTAGCATTTGTTCATTAGTTCCAAAGTTATCTGCAACAATTATACATGGAAATAAATCCATCAAAAGGTAACAGATTTATGAACATTTGTAATAAGTAAGCGATTACTTAAAAAAAAAAAGAAATAAAATATGTATCATTTCTTGTTTATGATGCATTTCAATGGTTAAAAATTAGGGAAGTCATTACACAGAACAGGCATATAGCTTGTCCTCATACAGCTTACTCCAGATCCTAATTTATGATACCACTTTTCCAGAAAATTTATTCTGCCATAACAAAGAACATTTTATGCTTGTAATTATGAATAATTATCCAACCTACTGTTTTATTCCTCCCCAACTAGTTCCACATCAAACCTGTTTGCCATTTGAAATTTTCACTTGTGTTGAATGGTCTGTGGAATTTTATGGCCATTTCACAGAAGAAATTGGGGATGCCAGTTTTAATGTTAAAAGCAAAACTACTTTTACTGAAATTTAGATTAGTAAACATAATTTTTGATTTTAAAAATTACTAGTTGTAACATTACTATAAAAAACTGCTAAACTAAAAATACCAATCTATTTTTAAGAAATGAAGTTACATCACACTGTTACCTACCTGAAAGAAATGCCATTGACCAGCTGTTTGTGTTTACCAGATTTCGAAGACAGAGGCGAAGATGTGGGAGATAGATTGAGCGGCGCAATTAGACTACTGATGATTTCACTCAGCTGAGCACTCTGAAAGACAAAGAAGCCAAACTTTTATCCAGGCTGCACATCTACATAAAGTAGGATTTTTTGTTTGTTTTTAATTCCTTTATTTCTGATCTCATTTACTTCAAGGCAAGATTTCTGCACATATCAAAGATGCCAATTTTTCTTTACAAATTTTATTTTGAACTTGTGCAGAACCACAATGCAGTAGACAGTTTAGGGTTTTTCTACAAATATCTAATTTTTTTACTATTCTTCAGGACACATTTTAACTTGAATGGTAAGGGATAGCAAACATAGATATATACCATAACACTTTGCAAATGATGGTATAGCTGCAGTTCAAGACTTCTACAATGGACTTTCAAAGATGTCTCAAAAGAAAAAGAGATTGGCAGCCTACTTGTTTTTTTACTGTTGGCGCATAAAATAGTCTCATGTTTAGAAAAATCACATTCATAGATTTAATAGATTTCTATGTTGCTCAATTTGGTTGGAGGCCACTGTTTTAATAATAACCAAGTAGGCTGCAAGCAGAGCAAACGAAAACAAAAAGGATGCCAGGGGTCATAGGCAAGCCATACTTTAATTCTTACATATTGATATATTCAAAAACTATAGTAAACCCCACATTATAGAAATACATGACTTTAAGAACTGCCCGAAACGGAGATGCAATTCATTTGTTAAAATTAAGTGTTCCTTCTGAACTGCTGAATTGTGGACTGACTCCAGAGAATATTTCACAATGCCATTGTGTTTCAGATGTCAAACTTAATGGTTATTCTCACATTAAATTTAGCCTCTACCAGTGCTTAGGGAAAACTGGCTGCTGAATGATAAATTAGGTGCATTTAGGATTAGTGGATGCATCTACACGCCTGCTCTCCAGTAAAGCACTAATGTGTCACCATCTACACATGCACTGTATTAGGGTGCAGTAAATTAACTCTGCCTTAAGATAGTATTGTTAGTAATGTTTGCCATTTTTAGATGACAAAATCTATTTTTTAATCTCAACTGATTTGAAGGTGTTTTGCAAAGAAATGTGTGTTGAATACTCCAAGTAATGAGGTAAAGAGGGGACAATCAGAATATTCTAAAAATACCCTTCCGTTTACTTGATAGAACTGCCAACATTTTGTATATTTCTTGTTTCATTGTTTCCTTCCCTTGTTGGAAGTGGGAAAGACCAGAAAAATGGAGCAAGTGTTTTAAAAACAAAAATAATAGTAAAACAACAAAAAAAAATTGACAATGAGACTTAGGTGCAGGTGCTTAAACTACTTTGACCTCACTTTTCCTAGATTTACCAGTGATGTGCACTAGGCTAGAATGGTTCAGATGAGAATGATCCCATCTTGAACTGGAGTTTGGACTAGAACTAAATGACCTCTTCAGGACCCCTCCAAACTTTTAAATCATTCTACCTAAAGGCAAGATCTATAACTTTTGTCTGCCATTATGTAACTGGTTTAAAACTATTTACATAAATTAGTTAAAAGTCTTACTCCACATTATGGTATTAAATTTGTACGGCTCCTTCAGAAGCCTGTTGCCATGGCAGCTTTGATTATTTTTTTGTGAAAGGAAACCCTTCTACAGTCCATGTAATTTTTCTTGAAAGTCAGTTTCAAAATATATGTAGCACACTTTGAACTCAAATTCTGTTTTTGTCTATGCCAATGATATGCTACTAGAAGTAAGAATCTGTAATGTATTTACCAGACAGATCCCATGAGAATTTTTTTATGCAAATTTTTTTTTAAACAGAAATGTTATAATCTCTCATTTTATACAAGTATTTCTTGAAACAAAGAATGGCAACACATTAAACAGAATCCTTATTAAGGACAAGTGTAATTGGTAACTGTTGGAGGTGTCAGGAAGAAGCTCCTTGTTTATTTCTCTTAAGCCAGAAATGGTCACTTTGATTAAATCAAAACAAAAATACAGACAGACCAGTAACAAAAGGTTAGTTGGGAAGCCTAGTGACAAATTTTAAATCTTAAATTTATCAGCATCCACCATCAGGAGTGTTAAAAAAGCTGAGCAATTTTTTGAGGAACTGACATGTAACCTGCTCCACTTCTATAATAAATCATGTGGCTTCCACCTGACATTTGGTTCTAATTTTACTTTACCTGTTTTTCTATGTTTCGTAAAAGCAGAGTAGGACTGCTGGGTGACATTTCAAAATCGTGTTCCGGCAAAGAATCCTGTCTCTTAAGAGCAGCTTGAGAATTCCCTGCAGTGTTTAATAAAGCTTCTTGGTCTGTCAATTGTGTTTGCCTCTTCAAAATGCCTTTTGGATGCAGGCATTCTTCTAAGATCACCATCCCCTAGACAACAGCAATTGAACATGGTTGGCTGACAATGACTTAACCCTCCTAAATCATTTTCAAGTGGCAGTCAACCCTAGAACATACTTCTTAAGCCCTCAGCAACTTGTTGAAACAGTGGGAATGCCAAACAAATACAGTACGTAAATAATGTTACATATTGCTTTAGAATAATTTAAATGCATCATTCATATTTTCCCTCAGCAGTACTGAATATACATTGTCACAAGACCGTGCCAAAGTTCAAATCAGATACACATACTTCATTACAGCCTTTTCCTGTTGTTTTAAGAAGTCTCCTCTTCATAAAAACAAACAAACAAAAATGCCACAAAAACAAACAATCCAGCCATTCCACCCTTTGATTTTCATATTTGTTCAAAACCTTTACAGCAGAGGTTTATTCTGAAAGTACTGAAGTTTTCCCTTCTCCTTTTTCTCTGTTACCCAACCAAAATGTCAAGGCTCTTCTCTCCCATATATCAATGAAAGTAACAGGAGAGACATCTTTTTATTTTTTTTGGAAATTGTGTTTTCTTGGGTTTGTACTGATTAAAGTAACAAGCCTAAGTCCTTCCTTCTATCAGTCTCACGGTTTTTCAAAGCTATCTGAACAAATATACATGTTTTTATAGTCCATTATCTGTGGGATACATCTATACAAAACTATGTAGAAAAAACTACACAAAATAGAGCTTTAAGGCAACCGAATCTGTTTCCTCAAATGGTGTTGCTAAATTATCATTAGCCTGAACTTATATGCTTGAATCTTTTCCATTTGGAGAAAGCCAACAGGAACTTTATATTTGGTTGTGTTAGCTAAGTGTAAACCTGATATCCAGATCTACTGAAATGTTAAATCAGCGATTCTATTAAGAATTGGCACAATGAGATTTTTTCAAATTCACCTTCTCCTGCTTTTTCTTTCCAGAGAAAATATTTCTTCCATAACTGAAGAGGAAGGACAGAGAACTGGAATGGCATGTAAACTCAAGCAAATAAATACCCTTTTTCATAATAATCAAAAGGAAGAAGATCTCTGTTTTTACTGAACCTCCTCCAATGTTTCCTTGGCTCAGCTATCACAGTGTGTGATGCTCACTTTGAATACTGCCTCAGTAGCAACTAAGCCTTGAATCTCAGAATAGTCCTATCAGAAGGAAAACTTGGAGACCCAAACATGGAGCAGCCCTAGTCTCCCAGGGCACCTCCAATATTTACCCTCCATGAGTGAAGCTGCTTCAGTGATTCCAGCTACAGTGCCAAAAACAGAAGGCCAGAAGATTAATGAACATTAGCTCAATCTGGTTTCTCTACATGCACCAGATAGTTATTCAGTGAGAAGGGCCCAGACAGAAGTGTAACTGTCCATTATCACATCATAATCTGTGATTCATACATCTACCATTGCAGGAAACTAGTTCTTTACAACCAAGGAAAACCAGTGTCTTTGAGTTCTTTAGAATGTGTTGAATGGTCTGCCACGTCTACTGCAAAAAGACCTTGGTTCACAGAAACAAAGAAAATTCTAATCTCATCAATTATGCTTTGAAAGACAATCAAGTCTTCTTTCTATACCATTTTTATTATAATAGATACAGCAAAAGATCTTTATTTGTTCTAAAAGTAATGTGCCGATGGGAAAAGACAGCCTTCCTCATGACTTCTGGGATAGAACGTTAATTACTTGTCCTGTGAGCATAACCAAAGACAGCAATCAGGAAACTACTGTACGGATCCATTAAAAAAAAAAAAGGTTTCACTGTAGAGGTATTTATTTAATATATTTAAAGAATTAAGTGGGCAAAAGGGACTGCAAAAAAGAAAGGTGTTCATAGAAACAGACACTAAAAAACAGAAAGGAGGATGAAAAGTATTTAAAAAAGGGAAAAGAGGGATAGGAAAAGAAAAGGATGTGACCAGAGAGAAACATGGAGGATAAAAGTAATGCTGCATGCAGCACGGGAAGCTGAACTGGCTGCAGTGCAGAGGCCTTGCATAGGGTGTGCTCTTCATGCAGCGCCCCAGCAGACCAACCCCATGGACTGGCTCCAACACAGCCTGATCCAGACTGGCCTTGGAGCCAGCATGCACCCTGAACCAATTCCCTGTGCTATGTAGAGCACATGCAGTGCTGGGTCCAGCCCAAGGCTGGTGCATTACCCATATGGCAAGTGGGGTTATTTCAGAGACCTGTGGGTCAGATTAAATGGCTCCACAGCGGGGATCTAGTTTGTAGGCCACGTGTTTGACACTCCTGCAATAGCGTATGACCCATAAGTCATCAGAATGAAAAAAAAAGTTGTCAGTCAACCTCATGTTCTTTCATAGCTACTCTCTTGGTAAAATCATACTAATTGATTATTTTTAAAACTGAAATATGATCTATGAACAATCTAAAAAAGTAAACAAATATATATAATCACTTACTGCCGTTTTAGAATTATGTTGCAGGTAAGATGGCCCAGGAATTAGGAGAGACGTGGATTTCTTTGGATGATATCTTATATTGGACCAACTACACGGTTGGGATACTTAAACAAGTTTTCAAATGCAAGACATTCTTCTACAAGTCTGAAGAATGTCTTGCATTTGAAAGCTTGTCTAACTCTATCCCAGCTATACAGTTGGTCCAATAAAAGAGATCACCCAAAGAAATCCATGTATTTCACATAATCACTTACAAGACCAAATATCAAACAAAGTTGCTAGTGAAAGGGTAAGAAGGATACAGCAAAATGATGTCGTTCATTAAAAATATAAGGCCAAATCATTCCTTCCACTAGGGAAAGTACTTTACTCCAAAACAACACACAAGCCTAACATTGGGGAAACACATCATTAAAAGAATGTTGGATCTTTTTTTTTTTGTGTATTTTTCTTCCACTTTCCAAAATTGTTAGCTCCAAAGCACTATGCATATGGTGATGTGAAAGGGTGCAACAAGAGTAATTAAAAGTACAGGGCAGCCATAGGAGAATGTTACATGAATTTCAAATATTCCATGCATGGAATACGCTGCCATTTACATGGGGGATAGGGAGAAACTCCTTTCAGTCTACTGAGCAAACCATCACTGAGATATTAGCATTTGTGGCTTCCAATGCAGAGGGAACTGGCCAGCCAATAGAATGGAAATGCTAAGAATAGCAAAACATTCCTAAAATATTATCACAGTTCAGCAACTTTGCCCTTCCTATTTTTTATCTGAATCCTGTACAGTTTAAATGTAAATAAAACAAAATATTTAAATGTTAATGAATACATTAATATTTAAATGTTCATAATATTCAATACATCACTTGTCCAAAGGACCATACAAACATTAAATTATTAGTCCTCAAAATACTTCTATGTGGTAGGTAAAAAACCTCTCTGTTTCTCTTTTATAGACAAAAAGTTGTTTTAAGAGAAGAAGTGACTTCCTTAAAGCCACGGAAAGTTTATGACATAGCAGGGACTGGAACTCAGAAGTCCAAAGCACCCAACCAACCCTGTGTTCTTTCCTTTAGATCACCATACTTCTAATTTCTGACATGCTCTCAGTAACTTTTACAATACTTTTCATACCAGAATTATTAAAAAACAAGAAACAGATACATAAATATTACTGGAGACATCGTCAAAGGATTATTTAGAGAGCCCATTTCTGAGCGCACAGATAATACCTTGGTGGCACGTATCTGCCTGTGAAGGTCAGTGAGTTGTTGGATTTTGTATTCTAGCTCTGAAATCTGGGCTTGAAGCCAAGTCCAGCGGCAGCCAACTCTAGCTCTGTCTGCAAGCCACTTCCATTCAGAACTACAGTTGCTGTGAAAAAGACGAAATACTGATTAGTCCAAAAATAAAGATAACCACTTTTTCACAAAGACATTTTCAACAGCTGCTTTGCCTTCTGTTGTGAGCATGTCAGTTGCCTTTGGAGGACATCTAATTATATCAACATTACCACATCAACTTCTCAGTTCCTCAACTATAGAGCTAGTACAAAGTTCCTGAACTAACTAGTACCTTCAACGTTCAACAGCTATTTCAACTATGCTATAATAAACTGTTTTTCTGCTATATATTCCAAACACAAAGCAAGAGTGATTACTGAATTAAATCAATTAATGTACATTACAGATTTTAAAAGAATTCCAGGAAACCCACTGGCAAGAATGAATATATTTTATTTCTGTTAAGCCATATACTTCCTTCTACAAGACTTCATAAATGTGGTATCACTAACAATTCTGAAATAATACATTAATAATTGAGTCAATTATGTTATGCTACTCAAAGGTAAGTATATTGTAAGTTTTATTTTGTTCTACTTTTAGAAATCAATTTTATGAACATTTCTAGAAATGTGTGACAATGAAACTGAAAACATTCCCCTGGGTTCCCTACTGGTACAATATAAAAGACATTTTTATTTATTTTACAGAATGGCAAATATCTCTCTAAATGACCTCTTGACATCATTAAGCCAAGTTCATGGCTGGTGTCAAACAATTTTGCTCAGTGGCTCACATATGGCACTTCACAACTCAAAAATCTATTTTAAGATTAAAATATATTTAAATGAAGGAGGGAACAAAATACAGTATTTTAACATGCAAGATTCCATGCAGTACCTTTCCAGAAAAAAAAATATATAGCATGATGAGTTTTTACTCTAGCCGACAAGCAGTTACTTATAGCTACCTTACAAGATATCTTTCTGGAAGATGTGTTTTACTTAAGTCACTGGGCTCAGTACAGGAATAACTGAAGAAATTCAATGGCCTGTGTGATAAAGGATGTCACTCTAAGGCTGCATCCACACGTGATGTGGAAGTTTGGTTCCCTGGGGACAATTAGCAGTGGTGCACCCTGCACCACCGTTAGCTGTCCCCGGGTGATGCCCATGCCATGTGCCCTCTGGCACACAGCAAGCTACTCCAGGGACAGTAGGATAAGCTCGGGTCAGCACTGTGCTGGCCTCAGCAGCTTTACCTGGGGTCCTGAGGGTCTTCTGGGGCTGCAGCAGTGGCGATTCTGTCACGCAAAGCCTGGCCAGCAGCTGCAGGGCAGCTCCAGACAGCCTGGCTCTGCTTTTGAGCAGCACGCGCTGTCCATGCATGAGCCAGTACCCTTTTTTCCTCTATGATCCAGGTATCCAGGGGGCAAAAAAACCCTCTACACTGCTCCCCTTGCAGCACAGAGAACTAAACATGCAGCATATAGCACCACAGACATGTCTGTAGTGCCACATAACGCACTGCTACACTCGTCTGGATGCAGCCTAAATGATCTAACTACCTTCTAGCTTTAATCCAGGAACAAAATAATTCTGGAGGCAAAACACAAGAGCTATAGAGCCAGACTGATCCCTGCATGACAACAGAGTGGGCATGCAGGTATTGCTAAGGCTTACTGCTTCAACCTTGTGTTTTGTAACTGAACCATATAGTGAAAGAACACAACTATACCACAGAAAAAAACCTGAGCGGTTCTACAGTGAAGACCTAATTTGACAAAATTAATGTTTCTAAAGTAAAAATTAAGCAGATATTTAAAAAGGAAAAGAAAAAATAGAAGTTTTGAAAACAACCTTATAACTTTCAGGGGAGAGGAACTGTCATAATGCAGCAAAGAGTACAGAACTTCATAAACATATTTAAAATATGATTCCTGCACTTTTTAAAGAGATCATCTAGCTACTGGCCACATAATTTGCATCCATCTTTGACTCCCTCATGCATTGAGAATGTATACCTACAACATACAGGAGTCTGAGTCTAAGGTACTTAAACTGGACTCCTGAAGTCAACATAACCTGCAGCAGCAATCTAGATTTTTTGTGAGCTAATAAAGTAAATGACTTCTTACCACAGATCACTCTAAATTAAAATTGAAATGTTACAACCACACAGAAAAACTAATTAGAATACACTCTCTTTCAATTTTATTTATTTTCAGTAGTAGCTTAGTTTAGCAAAGAGGTTCATGAATGTCCACGCTTTTGATAAATCCTTATTCTCATTTCTCTTTGCTTCACCAGCACATGGAAACCTGCTTTGATTACTTTTGCTTTACCTTGTGTCTCATGACAGAAATAATTTTGATTCTATGGACTTTTAAGTACATAGCATTTCCATGCTGCATTTATTAGAAATGAAAAATACAGTGTACAAGAGGAAAAAAAAGCAGAACACCCTGACTTGTCCCAACAGGTAAAGCAGAACCGTTTGACTAAATAACCGTGACTGAAATAATTATGGCTTGTCTCAGGGCTGTTTAAAAGTTTTAAAAGTTAGTAGACAGAAAAGAACAGCTTTAGAAAGAGACATCAGGTCCCTTAATATTTTCACAAAAAAGCATAGGGTAACTAAATGGAAATAAAGGGATAACATTAATTGGAGAGATGCTGGTTTCTGCCCTTATCCTGATTAGAGGGGGGCAAATAACTGAAAAAACAGATGTTACAAGAAATCCCCAGACTGAGAGTTTATGAGCAATAGCCCAAGTAAAAATGTGTTAAAATCCCAAGTAAAAATGCAACACTATTTATAAATTATGGAAGCAGACAAAGAGTGGCCATGTTCCAATACAAATGAGGAAGAGAACCCATCCCACCCCCTTCAACAAGTCCAGCAACACAGAAGAAAGTGCCTACATAGCTGAGCCAGAACTAATCTTATGTCACAAGTATGGTATGAAGAGTCTGTGCCAGTAAAGATATCCACATTCAGATATTAAAACATAATGAATAAAAGATGAATCTACTGAATGTTGAACCATATTATTTTATGGAAACAAATCAACATCCGTTTTAGAATTTCTTTGCCCTTTACATTAAACAAAATTTTTTAACCACAAAGTCAATGTATCAGAAAAAGAGTTATTTTTCTTTCTACATATTTTAATTTAATTTAGTTAACCATATATTTACAGCCAATTCTATTATTGAGTATTTATTATCCTCTTCAAAGTCAATGGAAGTTTGCATGAACATCTCTTGGGACTTCAAAACAACAAATATATGCAGAAGAAAAAACAAACCACAAGAAGCACAGACAAAATGCAGAAATTCAGAGTACAATCAAATCTATAATTAGAAGAAAGAACTTGGAGCTGGCAGTCTGGGGGCAATGAGTTATAAGCCAATGAAGGAATTTGAGTTCTAGACTCATCTCATTTCCCTAGTCAGCAGAGAAAGGTTGAGAAAAATGCTCATATGATTTGCTTCAGTTGAGCATTAAGTGAGCCCCAAAGAATGTACTCTTATTATAAAAAGACATCCAGCTTTCCTTGACTGGAAGGACAGATTTTAGCCCAATCTCAGTGCAGGGGACAGATAGATTACTGAACACCAAGCCCTTCCCTACTACCCCTGGAACTCCGCACTCAGCCCCTTCTTCCAAAAATAACTTAATAATGGAAAATATTTTAGAACAGAGCTAATATGGAAAGAAATACTACTGTGACTATTTATCAGTGTGTTGGGTTTTATGTTTTTACAAGATCTATAATTAAAGAGCATCACGAAACAAAATAAAACAAACAAACAAAAAGGAACTAATTGCCGAAACAAAACAGACTTGCGCTAGGCACATGTATTTTATTGTCAAGGTATCCTGGTTTTGTAAGTATAATTTGAAAAATAGGTCATAAGAAATATTGACCAATTGCTTGCGGCTTTTATTCTGCAGGAGTACAAGATCAGCCTTTGACTGTAAATGTCCTGCAGAGCTGGTTTAAACAAACATGGTTACTGCTGAGAAGTCATTAGACTGGAGCATGTATCCACAACAGGTAAGATACTGTGATGTTCTCGAAGCAGGTACACTTGTTTGTGGAGAGTGAGGGACAACAAACATATATTTTCTATTAAACAAGAATGAGAAGCCAGCAATGTGCCTGTATCAGGCACAAAACTATACTGCCAATCACAAACAGTCAAAATTATGAATTTGTTCTCAAAAAGGTACAAGATTCAGTTATTAAAAATGTTGCGATTTTTCAGCCAATATTTTTGGCTGTCTGATAGGATGAAGCCACCGGGTGTATCTACACGATATGTTTACTGCAGTTGCCTAATTAGCTCAGCAGTAACTGTCTCAGCATCTACACATGCAATGTTATCAGGACATAGTAAACACAAATACCATCTTACGCAGTGTTTTTCACTCCATAGCAACGCACATGTAAATGCTGGTGGGACTTAGCTGGGGCTGGAGGAAGCTTCAGTGCAGAGGCTGCCTGCTGGCTACCCCTGCAAAGAAGCACCCCCATGCCCTAGCCAGCCCCTCTGTAGTATGCCAAGATGGGCTGGAGAAACCCCAGACTGGCAAGCTAACCCCCTGGCCTCCCCGCCAGCCAGGGCTGCTCTGATGTGACTCAGCGTGCTGCAGTCCTGGGCGCATATCCAAACACAGTGCCCAGAAGCAATAAACTCTGGTGCAATATGCGCTGGAGTTCATTGCTGTGTATTAATTGCATATGTAGATGTGCCCATACAAAACCAGTTTCTGTGTAACTGTATTTAACACTGAATTCGGAGCCTCATACACACATATGCAGATTTCTTATTCACTACAACAGAAGTGACTCATCTCACCCCCTCCTACCCCTTCATTTTTAATTGGGGAAGGGGATGATAAGAACAGAATGGCAGTTGTGTATAGCTTTCCTCTACCTTCCTCCATCAAGTCTGCTGCCTTCCAAACACCCATATATGCACTTATTTTTCTTCACCATCAGCCTCCTCCTACCCACCATATTTTCCCTTTCTGCCAGGCTACATGTCCTTTCTCTGCTCCAGTCTGTTCCTACATTCATCT